TTCTATCGGCCTATGAATGTGAATATTTCCTTAGCAGAAGACATCATAAAGGCATGCTGCATCCTACACAATTATGTTAGGAGTAGGGACAGCTAGAGATTTGAAGAAACTTTTACTATTAATGGGTTTAGACATCTCCATATTATTCGGAAAGCACAGTATAGCTCTTATTAAAAATGCAGACCTATGATATTCATTTTTCTCGGCATCAGTGGCTTCTTCTTGGTTCATAAAAATGTCCACAAGTTCCTCCCAACTCTTCTTCAAATCTCTGTTTGAATATGTCTCAGTGGTCATGTCATGTCATTCATGTCACTGGTTACACTTTCACTTTCGCTTGTTTTACAGTCTCATTTTACTTACGCTGACTACCGTGTCTAGTTCTTTTTAACTAGTTTAATTATTATTGATTAAAAGTTCGTGGATTAAAGTTCAACTTATTATGTTGGTTGCACTTTCACTTGTTTGTGAGGTCTCGCTGTTCTTCCACGTCCTCTGATGCTGCTGGATCTCTTACGGTCGTTGTCGTGACATAAATTGAACTTTGATTGACAAAATTTTAACTTTTAACAATTAAATTAGAATAATATTTTAACTTGTGTTTTATAAAAAGAACTTGTTGTATTATTGAGCGTAAGTCTGGATAAGATACAGGGTCGAATGAGTAAAAAGCGAATGTGACCGCGTGTAATTATACAGCTGTGCTCGTACACCTGAGGATGACATCTTGAGGTCGAAACATGTAGTGATAATAAAAAACGTGTTGTGTAGTTGGTAAATTGACTCTACTATTGATTAAACACACAACAGGATGCAAGAAACGATTAACGTTCAACTATGAACCTTTCGGTGTCAAAGTTCGATAACTCTGCTTTGGCACTCGTTCTAGCACTGAGTTTGAAGGCACAACACACTTCACAGAACACAATGCAGAAACGTCTAGCCACGCTCACGGTCACAGGGTCGCACGATTTACGTTGCACACAGACAGCATCAAAGCAAAACACAAAGTCAGATGATATCATACATATGTGTTACCCTTCTACATGGAAACATAGTAAAGCAACAGAGGCAGTTTGTTGGACAAATAAGTATCAGTCTGACATGGTCGACCATATCAAACTTACATTGCTTCCTGTAATACTGTAAATCTTCCTGTCACGTTTCAGTCTTGACATGCATAGATCCAGAGGCGCCACAGCCATCACGTGTGAAAGGGTTCATTTAAAGTTATTTGCTGACACAGCCGCGCCACCTTGGTGGTGTCATGTGTAAGAGGCTTAAGGGGCTAGTCGGCCCAAGCCCAATGGTGAATGTTTTATGAGTGACATCCCCTCTACATTTTAACACATTCTACCGCAGTAGGTCGATTCCTGTAAAGTGGCTCCGACTGGATTTCCTTGTAGGTGTCTCACTGCCCTGTTCTTTTCGCTATATTGAATAGCTTTCTTCTTTTAACTCTTGGCCCACTCAGCTTTTTATTCCACCAAGATGCATTCCTTGGCAAGCGAGTGGTCTTGGCTGGACAATTATGATAATAGGGCAAGATGATAGCCCGTTGCAGCTGGTCAACAGATCGATCTATGTCCCTTATCGTGCATATATTTTACGAAATAATCTCCAGGTTGACCTTTAGGTCATTCTCGTACGACTCTCAATTGGTTCTCCTGGGATTCCCGAAGGTAACTTGTGTTGTTGTACTTATTTGAAAGCATATGTATCTGTGGTCCTATAAAGATGGCTCATCAGATACATGCCAATTACTTACCAGTTTTCCTATGTTATTTGTCCCTAGTATCAAACCAATAACCTCCTTCCTATTGCAAACCACAAAGATAGGTTCCTTACCATGGTTCAGAATATTCAGGTTCGAACTCATTAGAAATTCCATAAGGCGCTCTCCCCTTGGGTTGGTGCCGGTGCTCCCTCACAAGATGTGGTGCGCGTTGGCATCACACCCAATGATGAGTTGCTTCTTCCTCCTACAGCAGTAGTCTGTGATGTTCCTCATTTCCTTATTTGGTGGTGGTTCATCCGTGTCGTATGGAAGGTAGACTGAAGCAACAAACAGCTCCTTGCTGCCTCCTCGATACGGGTATGTTATCCTTACCGCTGTTGTATCCTTAGAACAGAGCTCCAGCAAAGACAAGGCATTAATATGGTTCCTGATATAAACACAGGATCTTGCATTATTGCCAGGTGCAACAGAGTAAACTGTTCCCCTGTGTTGGTTAAACCTTGTATAACCAAGGTTCCTGAATAAGTGCTACATCTGCCTTTCTCTCAGTCAGCTGCTGGCATAAAGTTGCCATGGCTGCTCTGCTGTGATGTAGGTTGATTTGAAGGAATTTCATGTTATGTGTGTATTGTGTATGTGTGTTTACTGTTCCATCTTAGTCTGACTGGGTTCCATTTGAGGGGGTCCCCTAATCTGCTTGCTTTGGTCTGAAGGAGTGGGTACATAACCCCCCCCCTTAGATGCCGTGTCTAGCACAGTTTATTTTTGGTGTTGAGCTTCAGGGTCTCAGTTGGTGACACTAATCCAGACCTCGAGACTGTCGTTGCACAAGGGGACCACGAGGAGGTGTCTCGACGCATCCCTGGTCCATGATGTGTCTCCACCAAAGACGCAGCTGTAGTTCGGCCAACCCCATAGAGGGTGGCGTCATTACTACCTGTAATATACGACCTAAGAAAGTCGGTGTTACTCCCGCCATGCATTCACCTAATCAAATACCATATGACATTACTTGCTGGCTGTCAAATATTTTTTTATTTCTTTAACAAACAATGTACAACACACAGATCTATGAAGAACCCGATGTCCACCATTCTTTGAAGCGTTCTGTTCAGAATCTGACTTTAACTTAATAATAGGCTGCCCAGATCAGTGATGATAAACTCACTGTATCAGTGAACTCGAAAGCTGGAATTAGGTCCTCCATGGTTTATATTCGTCGTCTAGACCATAATTTACATTCTTGCAAAATGGTAACATTTGCAACTGATATTTTTGTATAAAAATAACTTTGTTATACCTAAAATGTCACTTATTCAAACACAGTGTTGAACACATTGCGATGAAGTCCATACTCAAGGCCTAACTAGACATTTACAACATCAAATTATTATAAACTTGTCCATATATCACATAAGATCTTCGTCAGTATCCAACACCAGGACATCATCCTCCTCCTCTTATGAAAATATTTCTTCATGAATCAAACAGCTCACCAAATATCAGCCTATTCTGAAATCTCGCAGAGCTCTGTAGTCCCATTTCTTTATCCTACTCTAAACTCATTTGGATAAACTTCTGTGTTGCACATGACGCCGGTCCCAAAAAGCAAGGTGTGTGTGTCTGTCTGTCTGTCTGTCTGACAAATATACAAAAACATCGAGAGAAACGGTTCCCACTGTATACTGCAAATTTCTTAAAGAAACAACCCACACCAAAACAGAAACCCAATACCCAGTCATGAAAAGTAAAATTATGTTAGCTTACTTTTCAGATTCCTTTAAACATTAGATGGTAACAAGTCAAGGCAAGGACGCTTTCCTGGAGGAGTACCCATGCATAGGTACACATCACCTGTACCAGCCACAACTGCTTCATAAAGTTATTCTGTGCCACAATTCTGAAAGCAAGACCTGATCATACTGTTATGCAATCACTCATAACATTAATATCCAGCACAAAGAATGCCATGTCAACTAATCTCATGTGAATGTGCAGACGGTGCTTGTAAAGGGAACTTGCTATGGGTACTTCCATCAGTCATTGGGCTGTCACAGCACACACACACACACACACTACGTGGAGAACTGACAGGCCTCATTTTTTCGCCAAGAAAAGAAAGTAAGCTAATAACAGATATGACAGTGCCTACAATGACAGGTACCTGAAGGTGGGAGTATAGAAAACTCCTAAAATATCAGGTTTATACAGTTTGTATAATATGAATGAAAGGACAATATCTAATATAGCAGTGATGATATAATGAATCATTCATCGCCACAAACTACAGAGTCGTAGCATTTACTTCGAGCACCTTGAGACCTCTCGTGTGTTCAGCAGCCTAACCAGAATCCTTAAAAAGTGATTCTTGTTGCTTCAAGTTAGAAATGCTATCCGCTGCTTCCTGACACCAGGACTGTTGCTCAGTCTCGCTTATATTCTGCTTCAATTGTAGATCTGATTACTACTACTACTATTATTATTATTATTATTATTATTATTATTATTATTGTTAGTGGGGTGGGACTGAGACCACTTCATACTGCAACCACTACTAGTATATTGTACCAGCCCCAGATGATCGGTGATGGTGACTGTGCAGCAGTTTTTGGAATGAAGATTGGCAGGGGAGAAAACCTGCCCCTAGCACCACTTTGTTCACCACAACTCCCACATGCTCGAACCCGGGTTGCTAATTGCGTATCCTGAGATTGGAGCTGAGTCCTGCTTAGCAAGTAGCCAGTCACTACTGAACTACTTAAGAATTTCCAAATGTTTATGAATCCGAATGTTCATTGAATTATTCACAACAGCTAGTCACATGTCCCTGTCTTAACCCATATCGGTCCTGTCCATACTACAGCATTCTAAGATCCATTTTAATATTATCCTCCCACATGATTGATTGATTGATCAGTAACTGTCAGATGACAGGTCCACAGTCTCTTCCAAAACAGTTCCTCCACTTAATGTGATCTTCTGTTTTTGGAAAGAGACTATCCAGGAAAAGTGATAATGTGGTAGTTTTTCCATTTGCTTTCCACATCGCAGTACAACAGCCGTTCAAACCACTCTTGTTGCTATACGAACTTGAACCATCTTGAGCATCATTTGTTCTGTGCTTCAAGTCGCTGCTGATGACGCTGCTTCCGGCATCAGTTTTTGGTTTTTGGTGTCTCTCTTCGTCTGATGCCTACCCTTTGACCTGTCCAGCAAGGGAGGCCCTGCCAGTAGCTACGCTACCGCTGGTATAGCTCTCAGGGTCCTTGGCATACTCAAACCCCCTCACCACGATAAGGTGGAGACACCAACGAGGGGGTAATTAAAACCAATTAAATTAACCCACAACCATAATAACATTATTTAATTTAAATAATAAGTTACTATTTTGTTACAAGTATAATTTACAGATTTTGTTTTAGTCCGCTCCAATACAATGGTTTATATTGCGGTTTTATTTTGCTTTGGTCCGCTCCAACGCTTTTGGTTTATATTGCGGTTTTGTTTAGAAGCTTTCTCGAAAGAATATGTCAACATTCTGTCTTAGAAAGTGGGTTCCGTCTTCTATTGTTTTGCGACCATAGTCGTCATATAGTAGACGCACTTTTCTGACAGCGCATTGTGTTGACTTTGCTTCTTTAATTTCACACTGCAAAGCTGTGTGATAAATCTGACTCTTGTTAAAGGTTAGCATATTATTATACAATAACCTCATCATGGAGCCAAATCTTTTGTATTTGTCCAAATGTTTGTACAATTGTGTTTGACAAATACATTTTCTAAACCTCTGATGTTTGAGGTTTTCAATCGCTTCTGCGCTAAGCATTCTTGTAACGATTGGATTTTGAGGCTCTATTTCTCTTTGCCTAATGAAAGACACATTGGAGAATGAAGCCCTAAATTGAAACTTTTCAAAACAGTTTAAACTGCTTTCAATTGTTTCAATTATATTCGGATAGTTTTGTGCATTAATTGGGAATTTGCAATCCTTTTCAATATTAAATTTTGACATTTGAACACTTTTGACCATGACGCTTTTAGTTGCAGTATGAATATCATGTTTATTTGATCTCATAAGTAACTCGTCTCTTGAGTCTTTGTTCCTATCATTCAATATCAAATTTGGTTGCATTACTCCTTGCACATATCCGTCTTTGGTGTAAACCACGGAGTGGATCTTATTACGGAAATCTTTTGAGGACAAATAAGTATGCTCAAATGATTCTATCTTATTAGTAATTGGTAGTACATGACCGAGTTGAGGTTCTGAATGCATTGCCTCAGCTACAGCTGATCCTACTTCTAACAAGACAGTATTCATTAATACTTCTTCCATCTGTGCCTCTTCTTCCACAATTAGCCGCTCGACGGGTTTAACAGTAACGTAAGCCATTTGACGTTTATAATACGCTATACGTTCGGCATAGTCTTCATCATAATCTGAGTTCTCAATTTCTTGATCAGATTTGTTCATGATGATACTTTCGACTTGCACATCGCATCCGAAAATGCTTTCGTCTAGTGTACTATCCATCTTTGGTAACGTTGTCCCGAGCCGTAATGATTTATTTTTGTTGACCTAAGTCAAGGAAGCTTTGCTATTTAGATTTATGCGTTCGGCGTATGCCACATAAAATTTTAAGGTTTTCACCTCTTTAAATAGCGGTGCTTCTTTTCATACACTGACGTGTATGAGATTTTGATTTTCAAATGAAAATCTTCCTTAATTATTGTTTTCATTAAGTTCAGCTAATTAAAGCTTTTTCTAATGAATAATCAAGGTGTTCTCAATTATTGTTCTCATTAAGTTGAGCTAATTAAAGCTATTTCTAATGAATAACTGAGTTTGTAATAGGTTTTTCTAGTCCTGCCTGACTCCAGATCCTAAAACTGGGGTTATATTAACCTCCCACATATGTCGAGATATTCCTAGTGGTCTCTTCCCTTTTGGCCTTCCTAACAAATCCTATATGCGCTCCCCTTTTACCCCATGCCTCCTCCTACAGGCCCTTCTTATCTTATCCTCTGCAACCGTTCTACTAGCTCCGGTACAGAAATTCGACTCCTCTCAGGCCGTGTTGACTGGCCACGACTTGGGTGATTAGTGGGGCATTAGGCATAGAAAAGTCACACTCAACACCAATTAACTGTTTTAAGTTTTTATTCAGTAAGTACTATATAAATGGTAACTGCACCGTAGTGACTCACTTCACAGTTTAGTGGATGTAGCTTCCTTACTGTTTACTAAAACACACACGTTAATAGTCACCACAGAGTGTAGATACGGGGATCAGAACACGTGTACCTCCGGTGAATGTAAATTTCAGAGAGTCCTCTCATCAAGCAAAATTCGAGCAAAGGACTTCAGATTATGATTGGTTGGACCGGGCAGACTGGGAGGTTGCTTATCTTTCTCCTCCCATTAGAAAAGCGACTATCTGCGAGTGTAAAGTTTAGGGGGTGAACTTTGCCACCTGCTGCGTGGCTGTCAAACTCGGATTTTTGGGTAGCAGAAAAGTTTAGAATTTCTAAAGAACTCGGTCTTGTGTTAAGCATTAACTTGACTGATTTACGGATGGGCAGCTGGCTTCTAGCTTGACCCAAGCCACTTGCTGCAGTCTCAGGGGGGGAATCTAAAACTGTGAGAAGAAAGTGAGGAATTTCACAGAACCCTAACCATACACAAAACATCAATTGACCATCACATAAACTGGACAGTTACACCTCCTTGGCTTGAACACGATAATTATGCTTGAGGACAAGTACAAGTTATGAAGCTCCTCATTATGTGGTTTACCCAACTTCTTGCACAGTCCTAAGCTATTGTGTCTTGCATAGTTTGGGCTATCTATGGGAAATTCAATGTCTGATCCTTTCTCTCTAAAGAAAGAAAGAAAGTTTTGCAGGCGTTGTAACAATGAAACTTGGGTTCAATTAGAAATGAATTGTCAAGCATTGACACAGTGCTTTAGTGTAAGTTATATAATTCGTGGCAAAGGACCGGAAAGTCTTTTTGTCTCAGTGTATCGTGTCTGTTATCTGCGGTCTGACATTTTGATGTGGTTATGTTAAGTATGATACAGCATAGAAAGGAAATGGCTCACGACTGTGTCCATTCTTCATTGGAGATGGCGTTAAAAGTCAGTCTTGATGCATCATTCAACATCGTGCAGGACTGGAAAGGAATGCAGGAGAAAGCAGAGGAATGTAACAGGACAAAAGCTTTATATTACACATGATGAGACTTAGAGAATATTGAGGCAAATCACTTAACAGGATATTTTTGTACCTCGCGAACCTCATGAATATACATATATTTTTCTTCACTCTTCATTGTTCTCCACATGTTACCGAGTCTGCAAATCATGGAAGGAAACTTGACTGCTTTACCCCGTAGCCATTGGATAGGAGGCTGAATCGGCCCCAGTGCTAGTCCGGATGTTGTGAAAGGAACCCCGGCCGTGCAGCATATAGCCCGCAAACTATCCATATGTGCCTCCTGCTAATTTCAAGCACGTTCAGCAACAAAACAATGAAGTCCTTTATGATGTATGTGCCGCCCTGAGAGTAGACCCAAGTGGAAAATAAACAGAAATATAGTAGATGTTACTTGAAACTCCAATGGAAATTTTGCAGATTGGGATGTACACAAATTTCAGTTTCTCCATCAAGACTGCTAAGAACATTTTCAAAGTATTCATCCTGTTGTGTCTCTTAACGTACTTTCAAATGGGGCAGTCAAGGCAACAACAGTAGTAATAATAATGCTCAATAAGACAAAATATATACTACCATATCAACATTTGTTTATTTGTGCAGTTCTTATTGAGACATGTTTCGCCCTTTATAGGTTATCAGGCAATACATAACCAATAGCAGACGTCCATGATCTGTGTGCAAGCATTAAAAATATTAAATATGTATACACCTTCCTGACAGAAACTCAACGAAGATTACTCCAAGTTTCCTTCACAGCGATTTCAATAAAACTGCACAATGTTATGATGTTCTAACACCCTATGTATGCACCCTTCTTATAGAAACTCGAGGAAGATTACTCAAAGTTTCCTTAACGGCGATTTCCATAAAACTGCACATTCATAGGATGTTTTAACAACCTATATATACACCCCTCTGATAAAAACTCAAGGAAGATTACTCCAAGTTTCATTCACGTCGATTTCCATAAAACTGCACAATATTAGGATGTTTTAATACCCTATGAATGCACACTTGTTTTCGTACCCTACACTATTTTTTACTGAACTCTTAAGAATTGCTTATGTATGCAGTATTGATGAAGGAATATTGTAAGAATAATGAAAAAATATATCTTGTAGTTTTTTTAAAAAAAGTTTTGGTCATTTTTCATGAATGCAAAACTGCGCGTACAAGTTATTTTCATTAATACAACATAAATTGAAAGAAATGAAACTATATTTTCTGAAGTAAAATTAACAAAGTCATTTAAAAATAATGGAATATTTACTGAAGTGCTGTTTGAATGAGTACTAGTGAGTTTATGCATTATGAAACAGACGGAAACAGGTTTTGTCTTTATTCAGACAGAAGTTCCCTTGGCATTTCTCACAAATTTATATCCTTTGCATTTAGGATGTTTGCATGTTGTTCTCATTCCATACAGGCCAGTGATTGAAGGGATCTGATCTTACTCTGTATTGGGTCTGATTTGCTTCGTCTGCCAGTCTGGCATAGAGTTAGGGCCAAATCAATCTGAACTACTTCTGATTCATTGGCCTATCTGTTTCAATCAGCATCCTTCGGTACAGTATCCAGGAATTAATAACAATGGTGTCAAAGAAATGAAAAACAGACGCAGATACCATCGCTTTGATCTCATTTTTTTGCGATGTCTTCCAATATTGCTGTCTAGTAAATCAACATTTCCCATATGGGAATTATAAACTGTAACAACTGCTGGACTAATGTGTGCTCCTTCTTTCTGTTAGGACTTCCGTTTTAGGCATTTCAAAAGAAAACACACATTGCTGTTATATTTATACAAAACAGTGGAAGTGCCCACTGACTCAACGCTTGTGATATATTCTTCAGAATAACCACGTGGTATTGAGGTCTTTTTCATCTTGAAATTTGCAAGCTGGAATTCTGTTCCACTGAATTATGCCCACACACTGAATACCTTGCTTGAATAGATACACAGCTAAAAGTACAGATGTATAAAATCTGTCGAAATATATCTTGTAGTTTTTGTCTCTTGGTATTTTTCTTGACAGACGAATCACAACGTTCTCACTGGCTCCAATATCAGGTTCACTAACAAGTCAAATTTCGGGTCATTTTCTTGCCCGCTGTAAATCTCGATTTTATGAGTAAATCCCATTTCCCCACATAACAAAAAGTTAACAAAAACCCCCGTTTATGGGGTTTATCCTTCATGTACATTTTCATATGGTGCCTTGTCTTAGTGGCACACATCTGCTCGTCAATGGACAGGCGTTCGGTCATACGCACTGACAAACATTTCTGGTTCATATAGTCCAGTATAGGTCTACTTTTATACAGTTTATCATGAGCAGGATTTTGAGCGTCTGGTTGCTTGGAATTATCATTGAAATGCAAACTTCTGTGCAATTTCTCAAAGTTCCTGTCAGACAATCTGTTTTACTAATTCAGTTCCAGTAATGTCATTCCAAAGTTCACGGACACAAGCAGGTGGAGCCAAAGAGTTTACAATACATATGCCAATAAATTTATAAATGTCATAGCTGGTGAAGTCAGTTGGCTTGTTTGGGTTTTGGTGGATGCTGTATAGATTAGTTTCATCTACAATTTTGCTTATTTCGTCAGTAAAAAAATATCTGAAAAATTGTTATGGTGTTGATAGCTCTAAAATTGATTGGGGCAATTTTGTATTTCCTTCGAATGGGAATAGGTCACCAGAAAAAGGAGCACTAGGTTTTTTCCACAAAATATTTTTTTTTGTGAACCAATTCGTCATTTGTCCGAAGTGGGAGCTGCAGCCACAGATGAGTCTTTTGTATATGAATTCACTGTTTGTGCAGCAGTTTCAAGCTCACTTTCACTATCTGACGATTCCAGGTCCTTGCAATTTACTGTAGGGTCTGCATCTCAATCGTCAAAGTCCAACCCATCTTCACTATCAGATGGACGTTCCAGCGCCATTAACTCATTAGATGTCATTACTTTACGTTGTCCTTTGTCCCAATATTCAAATGAATCCATCACGGGAAATTTTTATCATTACCAACACAAGAAACTGAAAGAATTGAGAAACACGTATTCAGTATTACTATACAATGCGAATGGTCAAGCAGCAATACTGCGCACTATTGCACATGTGCAAAACAAAAGAAAATGTGTATTACTTACATTTTATTCTGTAGAACTATATGTTATACGATGCTGCACTCACTAAATAACGAATATAATTTTTTATATTGCAAAATGCTGATTTTAACCACAACAAATAACCTTCACAAGACGGCACTATGCGCCAAACTGAGAATCCTTCTCACAGCAACCCACAAACCAGCTGTTGTCGATAGTAACGCCGACTGGTGGGAAATTCCTGCTTACCACTTTAAACGAGGGGCTTAGCTAATGTGTAAAGTAGTCTGCAATATTAAAATTCTCAAGGAGAACTCAGGAAATTCAGTTCAAACTTTGCTTTGCAGATATGCAAAGCTGCGCAGTGAATGGTTAACCTATGAATTCTCACATAGCATGTGATAATAACAATCTTTTAATTGCTGATTGTGAAGAATACTCACCACCTGTGCGGTCAAAGAAGTCTCCTCCTGATAGAAACTCAAGGAAGGCTGATTGTGTTAATACTCACCACCTGTGCTGTCAAAGAGGTCTCCTCCTGATAGAAACTCAAGGAATATGTACTCAAAGTTTCCTTCACGGCGATTTCCATAAAACTGCTCAATGTTAGGATGTGTTAACACCCTGTGTAAGCACACTTCTTTTCGTACGGTGCTTTGTGCATGTTTTTTCAAGTCGATCCCCTTCATAGCCACTCTCTCTTCTGAACTTCTTTGTGTCAGCAGCTTTACATGGTTATGTGCAAAAATATAAATGAAATTAAATGTTTAATTCCTCTCCATCTTAAGGACAGAATGTGCAAGACAATCTGCTGTACTGCACACTGAAATCCTAATCAGTTTTCCTTTAAATTTCACGCTCGTTAATAAAAAAAATTAAGAAGACTGAGCACTTATTATATTGCACAGATTTATTATCCTACAATCTGTCTTGATTATTAAAAGGCAATGAAAGCTATGCCTGGGCTTTTGACTAATTAAGGACCACACCATGAAGACATATGGGGGAGTGGAATTATAGCCCCACCACTCTTAACCTTGGCTTTAAATGGAAGTGAGTGGTCAGCTTCATGCCCCGGTTGCTTTACCACCAGATACCCATTGCATAGGATGATGGGTGGCCTCAGAGCCGGTCTGGACATGCCAGGAACCAAACCCCAACTCCACAGCCATCCAGCCCATAGCCCAGTTGCTATACCAACTGAGCTAATCCAGTTCCTATTATGATTATTACAGTTATTTTATTTTCTGGAAGCATGTTGCTTAAATACAGATATTTCCATACAGGAACTAAATGGACTGACATAGCGGTAATGCTCATAACCTGTGGTCTGAGGTTGTAAACTCAAATCTTAACTAAGGAATCAGATATCCTGCCATGGTTTCTGTTTTTCTTTCTGTCTCTCCAGGCAAATTCTGGGATTGTACCTCATTTGGGCGACTACTGCTTCCTTGCTAATCCTCTCCAAATTACTGCTCATCTACCCATTCAATCGGAGAGTTTTGGTCTAGCTACTTTAAGTGTTATGAAATACGCAGGGCAAATAGTGTTTCTCACACTTTCTATATAAAATCCATTCAACCTTAGTTCCATATAACATGTTTATAAACAATAATAGCGCACTTCCACTGTTTTCCTCCGGTGTGAATGTCAAGGAAACGTGAATCCAGACATCTACTTCCCCATATGCCTTCAGGGTATAGTGCTTAATTAGTTCCTCACAGGGATAACTTTACCTATAAAAATATCACTTATTTTAATGTACGTACACTCCAACACAACCACAACAGGATATTAATGAACTTTTGGAGCATCCAGTAAATAATTAGTTACAGCATTTGTTTAGCTTTGTATTGTCTTTCTGTTTTGTTTCTTTGTTATGCTTGTGACCAGTTTCATGTCCATTGTATTTTTGACTTGTGAAATATATGTATGTATGTGTATTAAAACTGACTTCATTTTTCAAAGCAAAGTATAGCTACGATGAATTGCAATGTGATGGTACAAATACATATGCCGGATAGCTCAAATTCACGTCACAGAATATAAACATGACAGATGAACTATTCCTCTTCAAATCTGTCAATTATAACTCTGAAAGTTTCCTGAGTCCATGGCAGATTTTCTCTCTGGCTTAACTGTAATACAACCCCACCACCCTCAGTAATATTATATATTGTCACGTGTTGGGTATGTCAGGCACTACAAATAACTTTACGTGGGTTTCAGATTTAGCGAATCTTTATTGGACTGTAGCGGTTGTCCCGGTGATGGACGTAAGGTAATGCATCACAATATGTATATTTCCCAAGATTGGTGTAGTTAGTTTATTTAAATGTTATACACCATGCACTGTCTTAACATATATTTTCCTAGTTACATGGGCTTAAGTGTGACACCAGTGTGCCCTAGTGTGTGCTTATTACTCTTATCAGATGTGTTTTCTATTACTACACAAGGAAAAACTAGCCATATTTATAATATCCAAGTGATGTGTGCATGAACAGAAAACCTGAAAAACTGCTGAGTGAAAATGTCATGTGAAGTGAAGTCTTTCTACAGAATACATTTTTGCTAACTGCTGGAAGTAACAAGTTGCCTACATTTCTTCCAAAACACAGTAAATGCTGCATATGTTTTACTGAACTCTGCACTAAATATGGGCTTTCCTGAAAACATGTCTTCATACATGCTGCACAGTAATATAATGTTCCACACACACTGCATAAGCCAACTACATTTTTTTTTTTACAAATTCCCTTTTACCAGTTTCTCATGCCTGCAACAACTGCAACATGTGGTTGCTTCCAGTATCTTAATGTGTTCGGTGATTGACATGGTCATATGTTGGACTCTTCATTTATTGTAATACTCTTAAAAATTATTTTGATGAACTCATAAAAGGTTGGCTTGCATTTCAAGTTACATATTGTACCTAATTTGATTATTTATCTGTTTGGTAGTGTGTTGTATTTTAATTATAAGTTAACCATGTGAAGCGTGATAATATATTGTTCAAAAATTCTAATCTTTAGGCATTTGGGCAAAAGGATTTCAAGAAAGATGTATTTAATGATGCGACTTGTTCTGAGTGTTACTTTTGTAGCAGTTATGAATGCCAAATAGAAACGAAATGAATCGAGTACTTACTTTCCAAAGCCACCTTCACGAGGGTTCGGAAAAATTTCCCCCCAGCCACAAAATCCATGAAGGTATGCAATATTCCTCTTCCTGTACTGATTATATTGTAACTAGCCACCACCTGTGAAAGAAACAATTGCTTAATGAAAAACAGAAAAATTCCAACACTAGAACTCTAAAGGCAAACTACTGCAATCCAAAATACTCAATATTATTATATTCATTATTCACCGGCAGAAAACAGGGTAAGATACCGGAAGTTACTTCTACTGCACAGGTTTGGTCTCACGTATTTTTATTGTTATGTTCCTTATAACAGTTGTTATATTATAGTGATAAATCACTGTAAATTTTATGTGACTTTGACATGTGAGGTATTCGCTATTATTTCTTGACACGTCCAATTGTATTCGCTTCAGTTATGGACTAAAATAAAGTTGGAAGTTACGCTTTTATAAGTCCCTTTATTAACACAAAGGCCTATTGGGCTGCATCATGAAAACGAATTAATGAAGATATCGCCTTTTACAGATACTATAGTAATTTAACTCAAATAAATAGGATCGACTAAAAATATGGTTTACAAAGCGTCAGCTGTCGCATCCAACACATAGTTTTCAAGATAATGAGTACCGCGATTTTCTAGGACAGAAGAGGGTAAGAGATGCCTCAGGGCATTATACAATTTTACTAACAAATTAATTTATTAATTACCTAAATGCTTACCTTTATGTGGTCAGGTCTTCTTTGCTATTTCTTATATGATATTATTTTCGCAAAAATGACAACGAACACACAAGAAATCCAAAATGTTTTTGGAGCTTCACATCTTTTACCTCTGTAACACACGACCGTTGCACAATCTACAGCTTTTTGGCGCCGAGGCTAGCAAAATGGCGACTTTTTTAACTCAAGGAGTCAAAGACCTACATGTTGACCTACATGAAATCGATGAGATAACAAATTAAGATGTGAACTCGTCAAAAAAAAAACTAAAAAATGTGGAGCATATTGTTTATGTTCAGAGTTCAAAGACAATATGTATAGCTCCACAGAAGGTGGGAAGATACTAATTTTTCACACTGATAAACGTAATCAGTATTACTTCAGTAGTATAAATTGACTGGTCTTCAAACCAGCTGGGATGGCCTACTAAAATCAATGCAATTGGCTCATTTGCCTGGAAGGTCTGAGGAAAACCACAATAAGCCTCTGTCAGAGTAACTGGTGTTCCAGCCGCGATTTGAACCGAGAACATCCCGAATGCAAATCTGGAGCTGTACCGCTAAGCTAATCTGCCAGTACGCTGTGGATCCGCGACAAAGAGGAAGTCTGTGTAGACTCCCGTTCCTTTTGCTGTTGTTGCTGCTGCTCTAATTGTTGTTATTGCTGGCGCTATTGTTGCTGCTTTTGCTGCTCTAATTGTTATTCCTGGTGCTATTGTTGTTGCTGTTGTTCATGTTTGCTTTTCCTGTGGTTATCCTTGTTACTTTGCTTACTTATTATTATTTGTATCATCATGAAATAATTTCATATTATTGATCTTGGCCCTTATTGTTTTATTATTATGTAAACGTGCCTTTCCAGGACATAGCTTGCATATGTGTGTATATACACGTATATATAGTAGAATCGCTGTATGAGAATGTCACTCAAGAACTGTGTTATATGAAAGTGAATCAGTGGAAGGGATATCCGTGGAAACCGCAGCTATACTCGTAAGTGGAAGTTACAAAATTTTCAGCTGATATTTCACTATCAATATGGAACGTAGGGTGGGAATGTATTGTACAGATTGCTTTCCAAGGAAATGGAAGACATTCATGTAAATTTCCATGTGGAGGGCACACGAGCTGAGCTGACTCAGCCAGTGAGTTTTCATGTAATTAGTAACATGTCCTTATTTCGATTCCGGTCGGTCTGACAATTTGTTCCTGGGCCTCTCCAGCAAATTCAATATCTTATTCGGTTCCCTTCGAAACACTTGAACATATAGTTCTTCTCTCCAAGACTGTTGCTTACAATGAAATGTTGCTGGTTACTTCCCCACTACTGAGGAGTGACTATATTGTATCAGTCACTCATTCACTCCCATATCACTCAAGGAATCTTTGCAAGGGCGGTGATACATTCCGTTGAATATAATGAATTTAATTTTGAGAAATTTCTGACGCAGGGCCGTGTTATAGCTCAAGCGGCTAGTCGCTGGCTTCCCACCGCGGCGTCCCGAGTTCGATCCCGGGTGTGGTCAAGTGGGATTTGTGGTGGAAAAAGTGGCGCTGGGGCTCGTTTTCTCCGAGAACTTCGGTTTCCCCTGCCAATCTTTATTCCATCAAATTCTCCATCATCATAATCACCCGGGGCAAGCTACAATAGGTCAATCAGTGGCCGCCGTGCCGAGTGGATCCAGTTGGACTCCACCCCCCACTAAGCGAACTTCTCACTCAAGTTTTCTTGGTGCTTCCAGAAATGGGAAATTATGAAATCGCGATCCCTTGCCCCTCTGCGTCGTCTCTAAGAAGCGAACACGCGCCGTTGTTCTTTCTGCCTGTACTTGGTTCCATTCCCGTCAGCTGCTCTTTAACCGTCAATTTTGATGCATTTTCTGCCCCTGATATATATCTTCTTTGCAGTGAGGACTGAACTCTCTGCTCATAAACGTAACTCTCATTTTCATTAAAAAGTTTCATAAAATGATGTTCTAGGTTCTCCCTTAATTTATAGCTACTCATTTCAGCTGTGTGTGTGCATAAACGTGTTTTTGAAGGTACGTGTCGTTCTATTGCACTTTGTGGATTGAATCTTAATAATGATTATGGAACTGATTTCTCTTGATTTCTACTCTTACATTATAGAATATGCCTCTCGTTGCGTCATCATATGAAGGAACACTTCTATCACTGGAGTCACCTAATCCATACAAGTCTTCTTATTGAAAACTGCAATCGTTACGTTTTCGTTTCGCCGTATGGTTGCGGCAAATTGCCAGACAGATATGCTTAGCAAGTAGCCGAAACAGTATGCTGTAGGGACGAGTGAAATGAACAACGGCTTTCATTCGGGTTATCTAATGCTTAATTGACTGGTTTATATTCCACCATTATTTTTTTATTGCTAGTGGGGTGGGACTAAGTCCCTTGTACTGCGGCCACTTCTGGCCTATTGTACCAGCCTCAGATGATAGGCGAGGGTGATTGTGGAGCAATTGGTGGAATGAAGATTGGCAGCGGAAACCGAAATACTCAGATATTTGGGAACAACGATAACAGATCGAACCCTGATTCAGGAGGAAATTAAGAGGCGATTGAACTCGGTTAATGCTTGCTACCATTCAGTCCAGAACCTTTTGTCTTCTCGTCTGTTGTCCAAAAACATAAAAATTAAAATATACAAAACTATAATTTTGCCTGTGGTTCTGTATGGGTGTGAAACTTGGTCTCTGGAGAAAAATGCATAATGAGGAGCTTCATAACTTCTACTCTTCTCCAAGTATAATTAGAATGATCAAGTCAAGGAGGATGAGGTGGGCAGGTCATGTAGCACGAATGGGGGAGACGAGGAATGCGTACAGTATATTCGTGGAAAAGCCAGAAGGAAAGAGACCACAGGGAAGACCAAGGCGTAGGTGGGTGGACAATATTATAATGGGTCTTAGAGAGATAGGATGGGATGGTATGGATTGGATAGATCTGGCTCAGGATAGGGACCAGTAGAGGGCTCTTGTGAACACGGCGATGAACCTTCGGGTTCCATAAAATGCTGGGAAATTCATGAATAGCTGCAGAAGGGCTCAGCTCCATGAGTAAGTAAGTATGTCTTATGGCCCATTTGACAGATTCTGAAGACAGTGTGTGGGGAAATGAGACCAACGCATGGCCGCTACATACACAGGGTAACACAGACATCAGTGCGTAGCACTGCTCTCCCTTTCCTTTTCAAAACTCTACACGCCCCTTGTATCTGATCCTTACCTTCCTTACAGGAGAGCAAACAGCTGTTGTCACAGATTTTTATTAGTCAATTTCAAATTATTGTCTCTGTTATTCTGAGAAACTTTCCTGCAACTCTGGCGATAGGAATTATTTCGTTCTTGAACATCGGAGTTGGCACTATGAAGTCACTTCTGTTTCATTCCACTGGGAGACAAGGAGTTGGCGCTTAGCTGTAGAGGAGTCCACGTGTTCCTCTGTCTAATTCCTGGTTCTGGAGCAGCCTAAGTAATGTAAAAACTTGTTAAACAATAGTTTTATCAGGAATGATTTTCTCAGGTTATGATATATAAGTACGGACGCTGTTTCCGGGAAAATATAAGTACAGTGGAACCTCGCTTAACGAGCATAATTCGTTCCATAATCTTACTCGTAATGCGAAACACTCGTTAAGCGAAACAGTTTTTCTTATATAAATTAATGTAAAATACGATAATGCGTTCAATGCCGAAAAAAATATTTAAAAAAAATTATGTACAACGTTTATTCAAAGAAAATGATATATACATTGTTAAGGAGCGTGAATCATCTTCATCTTATGTTCTATGCGGAATGAACCAACCTGGAATGCGAATTCGACTTGCAGAAAAAAAAATTGAAATAATTAGTTTATTATTTATGATACATATCTAATTCTTTTTTACTAGAAAGCTGTCTAGAGACATTTGTTTTTGCCGACGCTTCAAAATTTGATGAAAATGCGACACAGCATTATCATTAAATAAATTTGTAGCGCTCATAGCCACTGCCTTATTAGGGTGATGCTTCTCAATGTACGATGCAACAGTTTCCCATGCTTTCAGCATTTCTCTTATTGCGCCAGAAGATTGTTGCTTTGCTGTTACCTCCTCCTCTAACAAACTCTCCTTCTCAACTTCTTTCTGTGAAACGCAATGCAACTCCAAATCGTGCAAATCGTTGACGTAGACTGATTGTATGTGCGTGCTAGATCAGCCACGCTCACACCTCCTCGCTTTTCAATGATTTTACGTTTCATTTCTACGGTTATTTTTATTCTCCTATGGCTGTCTTTTTGCGGCTTTTTCTTCGGGGACAGTTTTGAGTGGTAAAGATGTCAATGGCGTGATCTGAATTACATTAAATGTAGTCTCACAAAACATTAAGACAGAATACAGATCGCGTGGGTCAAACTGAGGAAACGGGGGCCAAATTTCTTGGACGGTGTTGACGACACAGACTTGCAAATTTTCCCTTTGCAGCTGTTGTCAGTTTCTGGGTGGGGACTATCCTATCTTACAGCATACACCATCGAAAGATTGAATGACATTTAAACTGAGCACGATGGTACAGCGATAGAGCATTGGACTTGTATTCAGGAGGTACTCGCTACGAATATCGGCCGAGACACCAGCTATCCAGACAGGATTTTTTTGCTTCCTCAATCACTCCAAGCAAATGCAATGATCACAATTACAATGTGCCAACATTGTCTCCTTCCAGATCCTTTCCAATTAATTATTCACCAACTGTTCCCATCACTGCACCGGACAGTGCAAGACATTGAAGCCCCGTCAAGACAAAGAAGACGGACAGGATGACTTGTGAATAATGATGTGACGTAATTAGGGAAATTTCCCGGAGTTCTATTGCAGCCGCCGAGGAACATCACAAACAACCTCTCAGTATAATCAGTGACCTGGATGGTATTCGAAACCGAGACCTCCCGATACAAGTGAGAAGCGTTACCGCTTGAGGCAATTTGCTCGGTAACAAAATAACGTATAAGATGCACCTGCATTTAGACTGTCGAAAAGGGATTCAGTCCTGCTCCGTGTAAGCATTCTGATTATGCGAATATGTGTTCATTGCTACCTATTTACTGTAATTACGAGCACTTATTTCTCTGTTCATACCTCTCCGTTCTGTTATACACGTGCAGCGCAGTTCTTCCATGTTCAGCATATTCACGTTTTAGCAAACACACATGTTGCTCCTGTCGACAAGAAATGCTTCTGTTGTCGCTGTGAACAGCGGCCAAATTTCCTAAATTTCTTCATGATACATGAAACATGTAACACGAAAATTCTGACACGCTGACAAAAACTGCGACTCCTGTAATTTCATAATTTTTTTATACTTTGCGTGGCATATTTGTGTTAATATTAATTAAAATCACGATAGAAAATACGTGTTCATGTTATTTTCCACTTCCAAATTTTATTTCAGCTTAACAGAAAGCTAAGAGGGTAAGTCACTTAAACTGTGCCGCCTCTGGACTCTTGCGTTTAGCCAATCAGATAGAATTCCGGTCACTGTCACAGGGTAATTGGCGCAGCCATTTCTTGACGGAAAACTCTGGAGAACAGTAAAAGCCTAATTTGCTTAGTTTAATTGGGCAGTAGCTGCGACATGGCACAGTTGTGTCTACGTCATCAGTGAGTCACTGACTCAAGATGCAGTTGCTCTCAGGCGTGCAGTGACCGCGGCGTCTGCATCCATTTTTCATTTACATTATAAATCCATGCAGAAGAGTCTAGGAGACATTTAACACAGTTTGACAAAATTCCTCTACTTGACAAATTAAAAGCAAACCGCTTGGCACCAGTCATGGCCAACTGGCGGAGATTAATGTAGAGCCGAATTCTGCGAATAGAGCAAGCGAAACTGCGAGACGAATGCACATGACGCCACGGACAGCTGGGGAATTCCCAAAAACGAAAGAGGCCGTCAATCAACGATCCTTTCTCATAACTGGACCAGTTGTAGGTCGTAGCGTTCCGGTTTTGTGAAGCAAGTCAGAGGACTTAGCTAGAAAAATGGGTCTTAACTTTTTCAAAGCATCAGTTGGATCAACATCTCGATGGAAATACGTTTCGGATAAAACTCAAAAAGTACACGGCAAGGAGAACGGTGATGATGCTGTAACTGTTCAGTTATGGAAAGCCACAAAGTTGCCTCAGAAATTTTGCGTAAATCAAACTTTAAATGCTGATGAAACACTTGAATTTATTTCATTCCACTCCGGACGGTCCAAAAGCTACGGACACCCAAATTAATCTGGTTCAGAGGACGCAGTGGATCGTATAAATCTGTTATGTTGTTCTGACATGTCAGGAACTGCTAATCGACAGTTCACCAGTTCTGTATTCGCTAATAAATGAGAGGAAGAAATCTCAGATTTTTATTTAAATTATGGTGATTTGAGACATAGAACTATAATGATAATCAACCAAATTTTCCCACTTCGTGACAGATGTGCAGCACACCCTCATTTAGATTCTTTGAAAAGTATCCAACTGGAATTCCGCTGTCCCAGGACATTTCTGGTACATCAAATGCACGTGGGAATTGCAGGAAGAAAATATGTAGATTTTATACTCGTATAGCACGAATTTGGTAAACCACATGCTCGAAGCAATTCAAGAAAATCTACTGACATCATCTTCAGCAGACAAAGAGGTCAGTGCAAGGGCCGATGTTGTACAAGTAGTACAGTACAGTGCCCATAGTTAGCGAAGAGTGCGTACTGGGGCCTTCAGAACTGCTCTGCTCACTGTGTCTTTACACACTCAGCCTTGGACATGCCGAATAAGGCCGATAGTGAAAATGACGTCATATTGAAATTCAACACGTCGGACCTTACGAAGTGTTTTCGTGCATCAAGAGTAGTCTTCAAAGTTATAATAAAAATCCACACTGGGACTAAGCAATTGCGGAACAAATTGCGCTGAAAGACCACAATAAATCAGAAGCTCAGGAAAGCAATGAGGACGATTCGACTGAGCGTGAACGAGTGGCTGATCAGGATGCTAGGTTATTCACTGCTGGACTCCGACTTTATTTCATGCACGAAACCAACGGAGGCTGTCACATATCTGAACTAGAAGCTTGCGCGGTATTTGTTCTGTTGCAGACACTCGATCAATTCCTCCCGCGTCACTAACTGTTGCACGTTTATCATGTAAATAAATCTAATTTGCTTCTACGGTAAATCCAGGAACATTACTGAAATTTACGCTATTGTTTCAGCTCATCTAAAGTCAGTATATTTGTTACTTAATAAACGGAAGAATTGTCTTTAATTTATCTTCAGTACATGTACATTTATTGAAGGAAAGATAGAGGGGCGGATAGAAGTGACCAGAAGACGAAGAAGACGTAAGAAGATTCTGGATGACCTTGGGGACAGAAGAGGATATTTTCATTTGAAGGAGAAAGCTCTAGATCGCATCAAGTGGAGGAACTGTTTTGGAAGAGACTGTGGACCTGTCGTCTTGACAGATTACAGATGAATGAATGAATGAATGTACATACAAATTTTTAACCCTGTACATGCATGCACCTTAGTTTAACTGGGTCGAAGTACTGTGGCGCTCATGTGTTCAGGTAACCGGATCCACTGTCTATCCTAGAGCGGTGGGTGTACATACTTCTGCGAGTTCCATCCCACCAGTCATTCCGTATCAAGTTAAAGGCAAACCTCTCTTTCCGTGAATGATGTCTTACAATTATGCACGTTTTGTCTTCGTGATGTCGTGCTTAATTCCTTAAGTTCAAGGATGAATTTGCTTATATTTTCGACTAGTAGTAAATTGTAAGCCGATCACAGTGGCCGCGCGATCTTAGGCATGAATATTCTTCTCCAAATAGAACAATGAAATCGTGGGTTCGACTCCTATTTAACGCATGAATGTCTGTGTGAGTTTATTCTGTGTTTGTGATGTTCTGTGTAAGTGGCGGCCTTGTAACGGCCTGATCCCCCGTCCGAAGTGTCCTAGCGATTCTGTATAGGATTAAGAACCTGAAAAAGCAATCAAGGCCCAAACGGTCCTAGAACCACAGCCAGAGTGAGGCGCAATATTGTAAGTTGAATTTTGTCATAGAATATGTGTTTAATGCTTAATTAATTCAACTCAAACTTTAAGGCCACAAGGCCAAATTTCTTCTTAGAAATAATGGAAGGTCAGAGAAAGTATTTAAAACAGAGTAACGATCAATATCAAGCAATGAAAAGTGTTCAATATTATAAACAAAATCTAAATGCATATTACTCTCGCCGATTCCATGTTTTATTTCAAAGCATGGAATTTAGCTTTGGCAGAGTATTAAAATTCCCGATTCACGTATTAAATTATAATATCAAAATTTCTGTCTCTAGTTTCTTGTCTAGGAGTGACGTGTTCCCTTCCTGAAGTGCCAGTGTCTAATCCTTTGCGTGTGTTCAGCACAGAATAACACAAGAAGCATGACAAGTGAGGAAGAGCGCCTCGCGAGATTGCGAAGGACGTTGCATTCCTTAGCAACTCGAGTCCCCAAAATAATTCTGAAACCAGTTGACTCGACATTTCCTGTTCTGAAGAATCAGACGGTAAGTGTCATGCATTTAATTATGAATTTATATAAGAAGTATTCATGTCGTTAACTTTCTACATTCCATAAATATACGTCCAGTTTAAATTATGTGGTAACTTATTAAAACTGTTTTTTCTTAATTCCTGTAAATTGTGAATATGGCGGATCCCTCTACACACAACTTCCACGTAAACTTTCTAAGATCCGTCTTAAAACTAAGAATAACAAAACGCAGAAGAACAGTACTCATTCAGTTCACTTTAAGACACAAACCCACAATCTATTTACCCGAAGTCCAGCCGGGTATTACTCGCTCATTTCTTCTTACGTCATCCTGTTGGCTACTTTCGAAGAGGTTTCACCACAAAAAAAAAGTGTATGAATTTGTTTTCAGGCAGTTCTAATTACATGATAAATCTTCTCAGTATGTTTGATTAGATTACTATAAGCGAACAGAAAAAAAGCGCCATGTCAAATTTGCGGCTCCCATGTCGATGCTTGTGAAGATAACTGGCTGAGAAACATTTCAAAGTAGTCACTTGCAATAACTTTTATACTAATTATTTTCTCGAAGTAATTCATACCAAAGCCATTACTTTGTAAGGATAAACACATGCAACATTTGGTAATGTGTAACTTTAATTCTAAACAGTTTGTCTGATAATAATATGTACTAATACGTAGTGAAAACTGATCATGTTTTTAAGTAAAATAAAAATTTCGAATTAATCATACTCTCGCACACTTAAATACACCGATAATAATTCACAAGTTTACATGACGGCCAATCCGAAAGCACATAGCAACTTCAGTGAGAAACCAAAATCTCGCATGCTAATATTCAAAACCTCTCAGACAGCTTAAAGTACCATACATAGTTGGTAAGGCAGCCTTTGATATTAGTTGAGATTAATAAAATTTGCAGATAGCAAGATCAGCAATCGTGACAAGTACAACAATCAAAATGCAGTTGATGTATATCATATTTGACATACCCTGACAGACAGCTGGATGATGAATAATATAAACAATTTCAATAAATTTAAATGTAAAACTTGTCAAATTCATAAAACAATATTCATTCTACTTTAATATAAATAACAATTAATTAAACATTCAAGTACATATAATAAATTAGTACCTCAAGCCAATATATACACCCCAATATAGAGATCCTATATTAATGAGCATCTGTTCGTACCCTCTGGTTCGCAAATCTGTGTAAACGAAAAGAAATAACTTTCAAAGAAAACGTATATCAGTGAGCGTCTGAAGCAATATTCATAGCAAGATATTTTACATAAAGTGGAACAGGCGACCCTTCACCCCTCACATCTTCCCGTCTACGTTTGCCACAGAATAAAGACTGGTCTATTGCGGTGTGTGTCGGGGCAACAGACCCCACAGACTGTATTTATGGAGAGAAATTTGTGCGTGTGTCAGTTTGTGTTGTGGAACATGCTGTGACACATTTCCACCTTGCTCCTTTCTCATCTGAGAGAAATTGAAAGGTGAAAGCTGCAGTACTGCAACACTACAGTTCCTGATAGCGTTTGTGTTTCTTTCAGACTGTTAAATTGAATGCGACCAGTACATAAGCTGCAGTACTGCAACACTACAGTTCCTGATAGCGTTTGTGTTTCTTTCAGACTGTTAAATTGAATGCAACCAGTACATAAGCTGCAGTACTGCAACACTACAGTTCCTGATAGCGTTTGTGTTTCTTTCAGACTGTTAAATTGAATGCAACCAGTACATAAGCTGCAGTACTGCAACACTACAGTTCCTGATAGCGTTTGTGTTTCTTTCAGACTGTTAAATTGAATGCAACCAGTACATAAGCTGCAGTACTGCAACACTACAGTTCCTGATAGCGTTTGTGTTTCTTTCAGACTGTTAAATTGAATGCAACCAGTACATAAGCTGCAGTACTGCAACACTACAGTTCCTGATAGCGTTTGTGTTTCTTTCAGACTGTTAAATTGAATGCAACCAGTACATAAGCTGCAGTACTGCAACACTACAGTTCCTGATAGCGTTTGTGTTTCTTTCAGACTGTTAAATTGAATGCAACCAGTACATAAGCTGCAGTACTGCAACACTACAGTTCCTGATAGCGTTTGTGTTTCTTTCAGACTGTTAAATTGAATGCAACCAGTACATAAGCTGCAGTACTGCAACACTACAGTTCCTGATAGCGTTTGTGTTTCTTTCAGACTGTTAAATTGAATGCAACCAGTACATAAGCTGCAGTACTGCAACACTACAGTTCCTGATAGCGTTTGTGTTTCTTTCAGACTGTTAAATTGAATGCAACCAGTACATAAGCTGCAGTACTGCAACACTACAGTTCCTGATAGCGTTTGTGTTTCTTTCAGACTGTTAAATTGAATGCAACCAGTACATAAGCTGCAGTACTGCAACACTACAGTTCCTGATAGCGTTTGTGTTTCTTTCAGACTGTTAAATTGAATGCAACCAGTACATAAGCTGCAGTACTGCAACACTACAGTTCCTGATAGCGTTTGTGTTTCTTTCAGACTGTTAAATTGAATGCAACCAGTACATAAGCTGCAGTACTGCAACACTACAGTTCCTGATAGCGTTTGTGTTTCTTTCAGACTGTTAAATTGAATGCAACCAGTACATAAGCTGCAGTACTGCAACACTACAGTTCCTGATAGCGTTTGTGTTTCTTTCAGACTGTTAAATTGAATGCAACCAGTACATAAGCTGCAGTACTGCAACACTACAGTTCCTGATAGCGTTTGTGTTTCTTTCAGACTGCTAAATTGAATGCAACCAGTACATAAGCTGCAGTACTGCAACACTACAGTTCCTGATAGCGTTTGTGTTTCTTTCAGACTGCTAAATTGAATGCAACCAGTACATAAGCTGCAGTACTGCAACACTACAGTTCCTGATAGCGTTTGTGTTTCTTTCAGACTGTTAAATTGAATGCAACCAGTACATAAGCTGCAGTACTGCAACACTACAGTTCCTGATAGCGTTTGTGTTTCTTTCAGACTGCTAAATTGAATGCAACCAGTACATAAGCTGCAGTACTGCAACACTACAGTTCCTGATAGCGTTTGTGTTTCTTTCAGACTGCTAAATTGAATGCAACCAGTACATAAGCTGCAGTACTGCAACACTACAGTTCCTGATAGCGTTTGTGTTTCTTTCAGACTGCTAAATTGAATGCAACCAGTACATAAGCTGCAGTACTGCAACACTACAGTTCCTGATAGCGTTTGTGTTTCTTTCAGACTGCTAAATTGAATGCAACCAGTACATAAGCTGCAGTACTGCAACACTACAGTTCCTGATAGCGTTTGTGTTTCTTTCAGACTGCTAAATTGGATGCAACCAGTGCAGAAGCTGCAGTACTGCAACACTACAGTTCCTGATAGCGTTTGTGTTTCTTTCAGACTGCTAAATTGGATGCAACCAGTACATAAGCTGCAGTACTGCAACACTACAGTTCCTGATAGCGTTTGTGTTTCTTTCAGACTGCTAAATTGGATGCAACCAGTGCATAAGCTGCAGTACTGCAACACTACAGTTCCTGATAGCGTTTGTGTTTCTTTCAGACTGTTAAATTGGATGCAACCAGTGCAGAAGCTGCAGTACTGCAACACTACAGTTCCTGATAGCGTTTGTGTTTCTTTCAGACTGTTAAATTGGATGCAACCAGTACAGAAGCTGCAATACTGCAACACTACAGTTCCTGATAGCATTAATGTTTCTTTCAGACTGTTAAATTGAATGCAACCAGAGCAGAAGATGCACACTTCAGTAAGGAGGTTAAAACCGAGGAACTCCCTGGTGAACACAGTGCAGATTTGTCAGTGTTACAGAACGAAGAGAAGTTTGATTCGTGCGAGATTTGTAAAAAAACACTTTCTCGTGTCAATAATGAGTCGGGGTATACAAGTGTGAGTAGCAGAGACACGATATCTCGTTGTGAAATGTGTGTCAAATCGTTCACTGGAAATCCCAGTTTCTTTGAGACTGTTAAATTGGATGCAACCAGTACAGAAGGTGCATACTTCAGTGAGGAGGTTAAAACCGAGGAACTCCCTGGTGAACACAGTGCAGATTTGTCAGTGTTACAGATCGAAGAGAAGTTTGATTCATGCGAGATTTGTAAAAAAACACTTTCTCGTGTCAATAATGAGTCGGGGTATACAAGTGTGAGTAGCAGAGACACGATATCTCGTTGTGAAATGTGTGTCAAATCGTTCACTGGAAATCCCAGTTTCTTTGAGACTGTTAAATTGGATGCAACCAGTACAGAAGGTGCATACTTCAGTGAGGAGGTTAAAACCGAGGAACTCCCTGGTGAACACAGTGCAGATTTGTCAGCGTTACAGAGCGAAGAGAAGTTTGATTCGTGCGAGATTTGTAAGAAACCACTTTCTCATGTCAATAATGAGTCGGGACATACAAGTGTGAGTAGCAGAGACATGATATCTCGTTGTGAAATGTGTGTCAAATCGTTCACTGGAAAGCGCAGTTCAATACGACCGTTCAGAGTTCGTGAACGGAAGTTTTCATGCAAAGTATGCAACAAAAGCTTCACTAGTCTCTATAATCTAGACAGTCATATCAGGGTACACAGTGGAGAACCGCCCTTTTCCTGTGAAGTTTGTAAGAAAATGTTCCGTCGTCGTTCTCACCGAAACAGGCATCTCATTATACACTCTGGAGAACGACCTTTTTCTTGCAAAATATGTCACAAAAGGTTCACTCAACAATCAAATCTGAATACGCATCTCAGGATACACAGAGGAGAGCGGCCTTTCTCGTGTAAAGTATGTAAGAAAAAGTTCACTCAATCCTCAGGTCTGTACACGCATCTCAGAATTCACACAGGCGAACTACCCTTTTCTTGCGATGTGTGTAAGAAAAAGTTCGCTGTCAACGGAAACCTAAAGCAGCATCTCCTAATACACAGTGCCAAACAAAATGTTTAGTGAAATTTGTGGGAAATTTTCTTCTCATATGGTACATCATGAGAAATTGACTTTCGCGTAATATGCCCAAGAAAGCTTCCACGCAGTGCCGTAGCCTGAGACTGATATAAGTGTGTACATTTATATTACCTGAAGTGCAGTGTTTCAAATATTCAGTTCTGCTATAGCGAATTAAGTGACAACAGAAGCAGAAGTTTCCTCTGTGTACCACATATTGTACTCAAACACCGTTCTCACATTACAGAATTGTATTGATTACTTTGACATTTTAAGCAACGGCTTAAAAAAACACTTCCTGCAGTAATGAATACGCATGCGCAGCATGAGAGCTGCTGGACACGGTGATTTCTATGCGGTCCGTGAGGTACCAGTTACTCAGTATGTAGTGAAAGGAAAGCAGGCGAGTAGATGTACTCAGAGCTTCTTGTTGTTGCTGGGGCGGAAGAACGGCAATACGAAGCTTGCCACTGTTTCTTTCCCACAAGTTCCCCATGTCTGGGCGCATGTGACAAATACAAACTCGGAAACATCTTCCGAGCCCCTTATCATATACTGCATTTCCATATCTACTCCCAGATTTTTTATTTTTTAAGAACTGTTCAAAAATGCATTCATAACTCGTACTCTTCTCTAAGTATAATTAGAATGATCAAGTCAAGGATGATGAAGTGAGCAGAGCATGTAGCACGAATGGGGGAGACGAGAAATGTGTAGATGATATTGGTGGGAAATCCAGAAGGAAAGAGACCACTGGGAAGACCAAGACATATGTGGATGAACAATATTAAAATGGATCTTAGAGAGATAGAATGGGATGGATTGGAGTGATCTGGCTCAGGATATGGACCAGTTTAGGACTCTTGTGAACAAGGTAATAACGTGAAGAGAGCAGTCTTCTGGGATGTGGCGCCCTGTAGGTATTGTGTTAATCGACGTTTCGGAGGAACGTATCGCCTCCATCTTCGGGGTAGAAGAGAAAAGAAGAGAATCCGCGAAAGAAGAACCGGTGTGATCAAGTGCAGTTAGACTACTGTGGAGAATAACTCCAGCTGTATAGAGCAGGACGGGAAGTGAGGGGGGGGGCACATGGGAAAGGAGAAGAGGAGAGGGGAGGGGGCCAGGTTGGGCCAGAATGTAGAGTATTGTGTCGGGGGAGAAAGGCAAGGTAAATGGATGGGCATTAACCCTTAAGGTGGGGGGTTGCTATGTGAGTCGAGCATGGACTTGCGTGGCCTTGTGGATCCGGCGTCATGTTCCGGGGGTTTCTTGAGGGAACAGATGAGAGGCTTCCATGACTTGCTGAGACAACCCCCTCCCCTCTCTGTTCATATTTTCGGGATGGAGTTCAATCTCGATGGCTTCCCTAATGATGCGATCCATATATCGAGTCTTGGTTGCGAGGATGGAGGTATTCTGAAGCTGAATGCAGTGTCCCAAATCAATGCTGTGTTCAGCTACGGCCGACTTGTCCGGATGTTCGAGACAGATATGTCACTGATGCTCCTTCAACCTCGTGTCCACGGAGCGGCCAGTCTGCCCAATATAGACCTTGCCGCACTCGCATGGGATACTGTATACACCCGGTGTCCTTAGTCCAGGCTTTGACTTACCGGAGGAAACTGGATAATTTGTTTGGAAGCAGACCCACTGATTTGATGTGCCGGGACAGCACTCTGCTGATTCCGTTGAATATAGTCCCGACATAAGGCAGGATGGCGACTGAGTCCGGTATATCATCGGGCCGACTGATTTTCGGTCGACGGTTGAGAACTCTGCGGATTTGCCGGTTTTTGTATCCGTTTTTCCTGAATACATCCCCCAGGAGCACCAACTCTGCATGTAGGCTGTCTTGATCACAAAGAGCTCTAGCCTTATGCACCAATGCGGAAAGTGCAGCTTTCTTGTTGGATGGGCGGTGGTGGGACGCAGCGTTAAGTCAGAGGTTTGTATGGGTGGATTTGCGGTACACTCTATGGCCCAGAGAACCGTCGGGTCTCCTGCAAATATCTATATCCAGGACCTTTATAGGGACTGTATTCAACCGAATCAGCAGAGTGCTGTCCCAGCACAACATCAAATCAGTGGGTCTGCCTCCAAACAAATCATCCAATTTCCTCCGGCCGGTCAAAGATAGCCTGGAACTAAGGACACCGGGTGTATACAGTATCCCATCTTAGTGCAATGACATCCGTAGGTAAATGATTTTAATGTCATTGCCGCATAACTGTCATACAATTTGTCTGTATGCAGTTATTGTTCTTCTTACTCTTCAAAGCCGTGATGCGCATGCGTCAGAAACGCTACGAACACGGTGTTCATAATGAGGAACATCACTGTGCGCCCATCCTCTCTAAAGATCTCAAAACAAATATCACAGACTTAAACCGTCACTTTAAGTCAATATCAGGACAGTCTATGCCTAAAGATCAGCATCTCCACAATCAGAATAATTTTACCTCGTTTTATGCTATCAGAGGAAAAGCAGAGACACATCAAGTTGACACCCAACAAGTCTCGGAATTGAGACGGTGCTGCGTGCCGACCTGATAATATTATTGCAATGATGGAACAATAAATAATATCAGCATTGGCAGTAATATACAGTATATACCAGCGTAGACATATATGAGAGTAATTAGGGATTTAAATGTAAATGTTCCTTATTTTATTGGCATGTGTATAGTTCATTAAAATAGTTTGTGAATATCTGTGGACCTATGCATTCACTCCCCCATACGCCTTCATGGCGTAGTGCTTAATTTTTTAAGCACCTGGACAACTTTACCTTTTACATTACGTCATGAATATTATTTGAAACTCAATATATTTAGTCATTTGCCAGCGGAATCCAATCGCTGGCCGTACCGGCAAGTCCGGCGAGTCTCGCATTCTACGTGAGCCGTGTGGAGAGGCAGAGTCAGGAATCACTACGGTGACTCGGTGAAAAGTTGTACGACCGATTAAATGGAGTAAATTCTCGGAAGGATCAAAGACTTTTCTCCTCTCTGCGTGCAGACCGGCTTTGGGGCCCACCCAGCCCCCCATACAATGGGCACCAGTTGCTTTCCACACAGGCAAAGTGGCCTGGTCGTGAAGATGACGACTTGCCTCTATCTAGTGCCGAATTTACATAACCGCACCATTGAAATCCTCCCCCCCCTTTTTTATTTCAGTAGCTGATAGAGTTGATAATAAGAATTTATGAAGAAACAAAGGTTTAAGACACACAGTCAGAACAAGGAATAGGCGATAAGCAGATAGACCAAACTTGCGCGGACAAGGACATCTGCTAGTCCTTGCGTCCAAGCATCTGGTGTTATTTTCCAAAAGGGCAGAAATGATACTTCAAGAAACCCAACTGAGTTTCTTTAGAAATTGAGAATTTGACTTACAGCGGCAAGTCACTTTGAGAATTCTAGAAGTGACAGTTTCTACCAGCCGTAAGTCAAAAGTGGGAGTGCCAGGAGATCATTAGCGACCCCTCATAAGTTGCATCGCTGTCAATTTCGTCGTTTGGTCTTTTAGGGCGAAATTCCCTTAAAAACAATTGTCATGGGCCGGAACCAAAATTAAGCCAACTCCTCTTATTTGAATCAGCCTATCCGGGAAATTAGGAGGAGAGGAGAATAGGCAGATAATGTCAGTTAGGACCTCTGGCTCGGCAGAGAGTTCAGTCTAAGATTTTTATTCGTCTATCAACTTTAGAACTTGGCGGAAGCAAGCCCCGCATCACACGCGCTAAAAGATAATTCTAAGTACACAATTTTGCTCATAACGACTCATAAAGAGATATATCTTAATCCATAAGCGGACGGTTGTAAGCTGAGCTTATCGAGTGTAATTTGTACAAGTGTAACACCAGTTGCTTGTAAGCCAAAACTAAATCAGATTGTGTGAATTCATACAGCCGAGTATCTTTAAGAAGAACAATAATAAAGTATTGCGGTGGTACCGTGAATTGTGTTGATTAGAGGTGCTTCACCCTCACTTGTCCGAGCCTGACCCGTAGCCGACCTGAGGAGAGACTCATCTCCACTGTCTAGTCAAACCCACCGTCAGCTTTCACATGCTCACTCCTTCCCCACTTACTATGAATCGTTAATAGTCTCTAACTGTTTGCTGGCGCCCATACTATCGGATCCCATCATGAAATCCAACCCCCAATAATCTCAACTGAGGGAAGAAGCGGTGGAGCCAGGTCAAGCCGAAACCAGCTACGACCCAGCAACTTCAGCAGCGGCAACACCAGGTAGGGCAGCGTCAAAGTGGTCATCGGAGCAGAGGGGCCGATCGTCATCGACTCCCGCTCCCTGCACTACTACTCAGACGGAGCCGCAGGCCGAAGGGCAACAAAGGGGCGGTTATAAGTGACGCCAAACGTGTAGGCGAACGTGACGGTAGTTATAAGTAGCGACTTACTTGTGGGGCTTGAAGCCTCAAAGGAGAAGCCGGTAATATTTAAGAATGGACGGAGTGGTACCTTCAGTCTCCCATTCTCCATCATGACCTGTTCCAAACCAAACATTGTGTTCAATCACTCCTTTTGTCGAAAAGGAGGTGCAGTGATTAAGAAAATAAAATCCAGTGGTCCTGGAAGTGAACAAACATATGGTCATGGCTCCAAGTGGGGCCCGATACCACAAGGGACCATGCTGGCTGATGAGTCAATCAGTCGGAGCTACACTTACCCAAAGGCAGCACACTTGGAGTTCACACAGCAATGGCGAGTCTCCTAGCAGCCAACCGTGCCGTGTAAATCCATTGCCAGGAAACGCCCGCAACACACACGCCAACAATACAGGAGCAGCGTTTTCTTTGTGTCTTTGCAGCTTGCGCATGCGCAAAGATGTCTCACAACAGTGGTTAGAAATCACGCGAAATATGTTTACTGTGGTGCAGCCAAAACACCAATGGACTGTCTTGTGTGTTTTCTGTAGGTTCGTATCGGTGCCGCGTCTATACTAGTGAGCAGAATTACTAAGCTGAGTAGTAAGAGGACGGAGTATAGCGGTAACCAGGAGGAGAACAGTAAGCAAGCAGGAAGCTTGAGGATTACAGAAGACTCAAAGTGTGATTTGAAGACTTTATCTGTGCAATAGTACATCGATATTGGAAATGTGTAATTTAGTGAGTCTTTCATATTTCCTGTGTTATAAATCCGTTGCCAGGAAACGGACAGTGGAAATAGACAGAGAAAATTAGTGTGTAGAGATTCTACATTAAGTAAAGCAGGAACAGTTTAATAATGTGGCGCCACATCCCAGATGACTGCTTTCTTCATAGTCACAGCCGTGAATACCCTAAATCTTAAAAAGTCTAATAATTATAGCAAGACCTGTAGGGTGTTAATAAATCCAGTTACCAAATCGAACCCCATTTATAGTCATTGTGACACGTGACAATGTATTGTAATGAATATTGAAGATTACTACATTCTGGGATTAGTCCGTTGAAAGTTAACTACGTTTCGAATAAAAATATCGCCTCAATCTTCAGGTCTGCGTACATCCTGCTTTGACGCCGGTATCTTGATCGGCGTATTCTTCGGCCTCTAGACGGACGAGATATGTTCCTCCAAAACGTCCATTGAATCTCAACTGACGTCACGGCGTTACTTTCCTGAAG